CGCAATGCTCTTCCGGACCGAGTTTCACTGAGGAGAGGGGAAATGGGTGTTCTCCCGGAACACGCCTTTCCCTAGAAGGGCAGCCAAGGAGTAGTCTTTAATTGCTTAGTCACTACCTGCGCGGTCGGGCTGCCTCGCTGTCTCCCCAAACAAGCCAGCCTGGAGGAAATGCTTGTAGGGCTCACGGACCGTCTTCTAACTTTTTTGTCGCTCCCCGCCTCTGGACGCTGGTTCAGAGAGAACTGGTGTTCCGGGCGTGGGAGCGCTGCCCCTCTACGTTTCTCAGGGACAGCATGGCGCCTACTGACGAGGGTCACAACAACGTCTTCACCACATCTCATCCTACGGCTGCGTCAGCCACGTGCCCTCGGAGTTCGTAGATCGCCATCGCATCGCCGTGACCACGATTTTGTGCGCAGCGGTCTGTGGCAAACTGTAGTTTTGTTTTCAATCGACGTGCCTTCAAAACTAAATTGTTTTATGCTATTGATGGTAGCAACTGCCACAGTTTTCTCCAAAGAGTTTTCGGAAAGCAGCGTTGCTTTCAATGGTCGAACGTTGGCCGCACGCACACTTTAGGATTTCTGTCAGTAACATCGTCGCCATACATGTTCGTGTCGAACGACCGCGGTTTCGTCCACAGCGGTTTTGGCAACGACAACCACCCACACTATTGCCCCGCCGTGGTGGTCTAGTGGCTAAGGTACTCGGCTGCTGACCCGCAGGTCGCGGGATCGAATCCCGGCTGCGGCGGCTGCCTTTCCGGTGGAGGCGGAAACGTTGTAGGCCCGTGTGCTCAGATTTGGGTGCACATTAAAGAACCCCAGGTGGTCGAAATTTCCGGAGCCCTCCACTACGGCGTCTCTCATAATCATATGGTGGTTTTGGGACGTTGAACACCACAAATCAATCATCAATCAACCACCCGCACCGTAGAAGACAGTGCGTGGGCTGGTCGCACGCGTACTTCTGAAGCTTCGAGCACGCTGCTCTCGGTCGGCCTTTGTTCGACGGTTTCGGTGCTAAAGTTCATATCACACGCCGCAATTAGGAAACGTGTTCGGAACATTCGAATTTCGGCCCAATCGACACATAAGTTCAGCTGTGGCATTTCACGAGTTCGTATCTGTCACTGTTTCGCATCACTAAGACTCTACTGTAAGTTTATATGAACGCCTCTCAAATTCGTTTATAATGCTGTGGGCTCGCAAAAAGCCCGGAACGGACTGGCCTGCATTTTTGTCAATGCGGCCAGATCTCGCACACACATTTCGATTTTTGGGAAATTTTCAGGGCAACCCTACACACTGAAGAAACGGTCGCAATCCGGGAGACTTTACATGTCAAGATGATAACACTAATACATATAGTTCTCTCCTGGTGGCGGAATATAACACAACGCTGTTTTGTGACCTCCGCGACCAGCTACGGCAATGCGCCGTAGCCAATCGCGGAGGCCACACTATTTTACTAATTTTATTTTTTCGTCGGAAATGAAACAATTTTGTAAATTTCTGGCAAGATTCGTAAAATCGTACGCGCGATCGAAATTCATAGATTTTACGTGAAAATCATGACAGTTGGCAGGTACGTATGCAAATTCCGATCTGGGATGCGCTGCTGTGGAGTGTTCATAACGCTGCTGTGGAGTGTTCAAAACAAACGCTGCTGTGGAGTGTTCATAATCTCTCAGACGCCGATCTGCTTCTCTCCGTATGGAAACGCCCCTCTTTTCTCACCACGTGCTAGCCACGCTGCAGCTGCGGTGCGGAGGGCAGCAGCGGAGACGCAGTCGTTGTCGTCATCCTAACACCTAGTTCGCAGAAAGAAAAAAAATTATCTCATTAGACTCGACTGCGGACTTCTGTAATTAAACATTATTTACAGTTATTTAAATACTGCTGCAATTACAGTGTCTAACCATTTTATGATTTCTGACGTCTTGCCGGGAGCCGCATGCGGAACCCTGAGATGGATGGTTTGGCACAATTTGGCGCAACTTGCGTCGATTTCATCAGGTTGGCGCAGCAAGTCACGTTTATATATATAAATATATATATATATATATATATATATATATATATATATATATATATATATATATATATATATATTATATATATATATATATATATATATATATATATGTGTGTGTGTGTGTGTGTGTGTGTGTTACGACATTGTGGAACAAAGTGAACGACTCAAACACGCATTTCCATCCGCTCCAGGCGTCGTTTACCGACGACCACGTAACCTCAAAGACACACTTGTCCACTTTCAAATTAACACATCACCCCCCAATAATTCGTGCCGACCTTGTTTAAAGCCACGATGCCTTGTATGTAAGGTGATGCGAGAAACACACAAAGCAACCAGCACACAATCCAAGTTTTCGATTAACATACGAGGAAACCTAACATGCGATTCCTCTAATGTGGTATACCTACTCGAATGCAACGTGTGTGGTTTGCAGTACATCGGACAAACAGAAACAGCATTTAGGATTCGCTTCAATAATCACAGAGCCCATGCGAAATCAGCCCCAAGTCTACCTCTATCAAAACATCTCAATCTTCCCGACCATGCATTCGACAAACTATCAGTAACGCTCTTAGAGACGGGATTTAAATCAAATCGAGAACGTGAACAACGAGAGTCATACCTTATCCACCGATTTAACACCCTCGATAGAGGAATAAATGAGAATCCTGGAACACTTGCTGCAATTAAAGCATCAAAAAACAATAACGGCAACAATGAAAATAGTAACTGAGTTCACGCCACTGCAGCTGCGAAGGGCACTGGACAACTCAAAACAATTCCAAGTGTAACTACTCTTCCTAAGTGCAGCTGTCGTCTGTTTTCTGTTTTATTTTACTACCCAATCAATTGTGCCATGCATGACATGCCCAACAGCAACCCTGTACACAGCCGGGAGGCACCCACTACACGCGTAATCTAGAAGCGGGCAAGGAATTCGCATTGCGCCCCTTACCAGCCTTAGCCGCAATACGCGGAACCCCTCTTTCTACGACGAAATTTTGACGGGACCCCGAGTAGTTAAAGGCTTAGAACTTCCTAAGAAAGCTCTTTTTTGCCCCACACCGAACCGCCAGTGCCAGGAGGCGCCGTCTGGTCGGGAATAATGCGTTAGTGAAAGGAAGCATACACAGGCCACTGACATCAGAAAGGTGAAGGGGAGAAAGGGGAGAGAAATGAAGGGGGAAGTGGAAAAGAGAGTGGAAGGGGGGTGCCCGAGGAGAGTCCACCTTATATTCTTTTTTTCCCTTTTTTTCTTTTCTCTTCTTTTTTCTTTTCTTTCTTTTTATCTTGTTTTTTCTTTTTTTCTGTCTTTTTTCTCTTTCCTTTCCCTCTGATTTGAGATTGTATAAAGCTGAGCACCAATAAACTGTACCTTTAATCCTGATGAAGGCCAGACTCTAGGCCGAAACGTCGAAATAAACCACGTTGTGACCGCTCACGGAGGATCTACTGGATTATATGCAACGCTACGGCCACTCAACCACCATGCCTGCTTATATATATATATATATATATATATATATATATATATATATATATATATATATATATATATATATATATATATATATATATATATCAGAAGAAAGAAAAGTGGGTTGAAAAAATAATCGAACCTACGACCTTCAATACCGAACGCGTTATTCGAAGGTCGTAGGTCCGATTCCTGCTCAAGGCAGGTTAATATATATATATATATATATATATGACATCATGAGACCACGTTCGGTACGGCAGTAACCAGCTTATCCTTTTTAATCCAGATGCACGAGCCAGAGACCCAGGCCGCGCGACATACAATGATCACTACAATGGTTTGATCATACAGATGAAGATGGAGTACATAGTCAGCGCTCACACTATTTTCCCCCCTTCGCGAAAGAGGGCAGCAAGTTGGAAAGGGTTGGGACGCCGAATATATCGTTTCAGTCGAGAGACGTGGGCGATCTCGGTGTGGCGGCGACGGCGATCAGGAGCCGCGTTGACAGGAGCAACGCGATAGTTAACCTCAGATGTTCATTCGAGGACGGTGTATTGACGGAGATATCGATGAAGAAATTTTTCGCAGAGCCCATGTGCACGAGCAGGTGTCCACAAAAGGATTTCGTCGCCTGGGCGGAACACAACAACTACACGCTTGGCATCAATGTCAATTATCCTCTTGTCCTGAATGGTAGCAGTGTTGGTGCGGGAGATTTCACGGCAGCGGGCGACGCGAGCGGCGAACTCTTTCGGGAGAGATGAAGATGGAACGGAAGATGTGGACAAAAGGCTGGTGTCCAGAACAAAAGTCGGTACACGGCCATACACGAGGAAAAAAAGGCTGAAATTCGTCGTCCACTGTATAGCAGTATTATATGCGAACGTGACGAAAGGAAGTACAGTGTCCCAGTTGTGATCTGGTCACACGTACATAGAGATCATGTCGGACAAAGTTAGGTGAAAACGCTCAGTCAGACCATTAGTTTCTGGGTGATACGCTGACGTGGTCTTGTGTATGGTGCACAGGCATCATCGATGACGTCACAGTCAACATTTTTTTTTCTGTACGTTTAGTCAGAGACTTCGTCTCCGTCTTCTTGCTGCAGATGCGCGTAGATATTTCGGCTTGTGCACACTACTTCTTTGCCGTCGTCGCTCTTGTGGCCATAAGTGAGCTCTTGTTTGAAAAACGGCCTCTCGCCGCTGTTACGCGTAGAGCGGCCATCCCTTGGCCCGCTGCCACCGTAGTCTGGTCGTCGAATGCGGTCGGCCGGTGGTCGCTTTGCCAAGTCTCCTGGTTCACGTGAATTTCTACTAAGCACTCGCACAGGTCCATCATAGCCAGCTTGAGAACCGTGCAGGCTATTTTGTGAATGCTGATCGCTGTCATTGCTGTACTGCCGTGACAGCGGTTGCCGCCCTCCATCATCGTAAGAGTCTCGGCCAGACTCTGAGAACGCCGCGATCGCCCCGACCCCGAGCCGGCACTATAGAGAGCCACACCCGGTCGTCCTTGAGACTGTCCTGAAAGGGTTCCCGGTCCCAGATCTGTCGGCGCTCTTCTTCCTCACGCTGCCGAGCAAGCTGTGCTTCGATGTCACGCTCTCGAGCAGCCGTATCCACGGGTCGCGCTATGCCGAAAATGGCCGACGAGGCCTTAGGTGCAGGCTCGGGGGCCTTGGGCACGGCAGCGGCCTCCTTGTTCTCTTCCACTGGCACAGAGCGAGGCTTGAGCGCCAGATTATTGTGCTCCCGCGACGCAAAGTCCTGATCCCGGTCGTCCCGGTCATCCCGGCTATACCGATCATCCCGGCTGAACCGGTCATCTCGGTCGTTTCTGAAGCTGCTCCCACACTCTCGCCTGCCACCACCACCAAAACCTCGATCCCGGTCGTAGTCTCGATCCCTTGGCCTGTCGTAGCCTCCAAGCCCGCCCCGACGCTCGAAGCCGCGGTCGAAACCTCGGTCGCGGTCTCCGAACCCACGAGGTTGGTCTCTCAAGAACCTGTCACGGCCATAGTCACCGCCGTCTCGGTCAGAGTCCCGCCCGAATCCAGGCCAGCGGTAGCCGCCATCATCGTCGTAACCACGACTACCACGAAACGAGGAAAGCTCCCTTCGGTCGTCGTCGCCATCGTTAGGGTGGCTAGAACCCTACCATCGTCCCTCGACGTTGCCCTCCAATCGCCGCCTAACGACCACTCGCTGCGGCCCATGTCGCGATTTCCGCACTCTCAACCTTCGTTGTCGTGCTCCTCGGCTAGGCTCACTTTTATGGACCGGCTTCTCAGGTTCTCGTTGTAACCCAGGCTTCTAAGAGAGTGCTCTGGTCTGAAAATTCAGCGTAGCCGAAGCCACGCATGCGACCTCTGTCGCCTCTTTCTCTGGGCAGGCGTACGCACGACACCTTCAAGCCACTAAAAAGTTTGATGACGTCATCGTCGCAGACGTCGTATGGCAGGTTGCCCAGGTAGACCATGTAGGGCGGTCGGTTGGGAACCTTGGATAAGTCAACATCCGGACAACAGGCAGCCTTTGGAGCTGTCGGGAGAATGATCTTTTTGTCTCGCTTGTAGTCCATGGTGAATTTCTCGTTGACGGCTTCATTTTCCATTGTGTCCGCCCAGTTGATAAGACGAGTGTTGACTACGGCATATCCCGACGGTGCCTCTTGATCACCTCCCAGAAAGTCATTTAAGTTGAGGGTCTTCCCCTTAACCTTATGCTTTTTCTCTGGCATGTCTGATATGAATCCGCGCGCTTATGAGACCGGACGTGGTCTCATAAGTGGTGGAGCATGCTTTACGCATCATCACCCTTCATCCCTCTTTCCTTCCCCCTTCCCTTATCCCCTGTGTAAAGTAGCAGGCTAGAGCGAACTAGCTCAGGCCGACCTCTATGCCTTCTAATAAATTCTCATTCACTCGTCCACCGACGACGACGAAGTGATTGCTTAGCAGATCGCTGTTCCAGTAGGTGCCCTCTTTTTTCACCTAATTATAAGTGAACTTCGCGAATATCACATCTGTGTCCGTCGGTGATGGACGTGGACCTACACAGACGTCCGCCAGATACGGCGGCGTCGGCGGTGGCCGCATCCAGGAAGCGTACAGGACTCTACAGCGACTACGACAGCGAGGGCACTTTTGCTTACCCAGTGAGCAGCGAAGAGCCTTCCGACGACGACAATTTTAAGCTGATGCTGAGCCGTAAAGCGAAGATGCGGAACGTCAGAACATCTTCGTCATCAAGTACGTTGAACGACAGAGTGCCAAGGAGACCCGTCACAAACACTATCCTTTTTGTCCCTGAGGTACCGGACGGTAACATGAAGCACCTCAACAGGTCATCTGTTTCGATGATGCTGGAAGGACTCGTGCCAAACGAGATCACAGTCATCAGAGTGAACACGCGGAAGAACGTATTGGCCATCGACATTTTACATGCCGTGGCGCTTAATATACTACGCAACTTCAACGAGCTGGGGGGAATGAAAGTTCGCTCCTACATTCCTGTGAGCTCTAACGTCGTCACTGGAGTCATCTACGATGTGGATACTGCCATTCCCAGCTCCGACTTCGATTTTCTGGCCAAACCGGCAAATGAAGCCAGCGTCATCGCAAAAGTTGTCCATTTGGAAAACTCACGCTGCTTGAAGATCATGTTCAAGGGTGACTGGCTTTCTTCACACGTAAAGGTGGGCCATTTTCGGCATTCTGTGCGACCTTTCGTACCGAAGCCCTTACAGTGTCATAAGTGCATGAAGCTGGGCCACGTGAGAAGCGTATGCGAAAATAAGACGGTGTGTCCTCGTTACGCGGAAGCCCATTCTGCGGATGACTGCGAAGCAACTACCCTCAAATGCTCGAATTGTCATGGGCCACGTGCAGCTTCGTCAAAAGAATCCCCCAAAATCAAAAGAAAAATAGCGGTATTGAAACAAATGGTGAGAGACAATTCTTCGCATCGAGAGGCTGCCAGGACCGTCCGAAAGAGGTGTCATCGTCACCGCAGTTCATCAAAGAATGCCGCAGACGCTGCATCGACAGCGCCACTCCACCGCCCTTCTTTTCCACCGCTCTTGCCTCCCAGACCGAAGGCGGCCAGCGCGGTCAACAAACCAACGAACAGCCATGTTGCAGATGAATCAGTTTGGCCTTCATTGCCGAAATCACAGCCACCTGCAAATTCCAAGCGCACATCGACAATCACATCCCTCCAGCCAGCCGCTGACAAGCTGCCTGAGGAGGACACAGAAGTCATCAGAATGTTCCGAACACTGCTGGATGCCATGCGAAAGCTGTACAGTAGCCTGAAGTCTCCACTCGCTCAGAGTGCACTACAAGTACTGGATGCTCTAAGTCCAGTATTTGCAAGTCTCCAGTAGCAACCATGGCTCGACCAATTTTCTCCTTCCGCAACGAGGTCCGACAAGCGTCAATACTGCAGTGGAACGCGAGAGGCCTGAGATCCCGCATCTCTTTATTCCGTCAGTATATATTCATGAATCATATTCCTATAATAGTTATATGTGAACCAAACGTACAACAACCTCCTAAACTATCAGGGTATGAATCTTTCGTTTCTTCAACGTGCGAGGAACGCAGCAAGGTGGTTGTATACATTCGCACAGATTTTACATATGTGCATCACGCTGTTCAACCGCATGATGACAATCAATATGTCTGCTTAGGTGTTAAAAAGGAAAAAGTGTCATTCACACTCATTGGTGTCTACATATCACCATCCGAACGGTTTGAACAAGACCGACTACGAGACATACTGACAACAACTACGGGCCCGTGGGTTATAACTGGAGACTTCAACGCACATCGCTTAATCTGGGGTAGTTCGACGATCAACGCTAAAGGAAGAAACCTCGTGTCATTCGCCTTCAAGCACGACCAATGTTTATCAAATGATGGCAGTCCTACATACCTGCGGGGCCTTACTAGCAGTTGCCTCGATTTGACTCTGGTATCCAGAAACTTCTGGTCACAAGTGCACTGGTTTTCAGACATCGAAACGCATGGGAGTGACCACATTTCAACTTATATGCGAATAAGGAGTCTTACTAACTCCTCTCCTAGGACCACAACACGAAGAATTGATTGGTCCAAATTTCAGCGACTCATGGAAAATACATGCCGTGAAGACCCTGACCAGAACTTGGAGGATGTCATCAAAGAGTCAATGAGGGAAGCTTCCTGTCTCCTCCCGTTCACCGGCAAGCGTTCAGATTTCGATGTTGAACTGGAAAAACTATGTGCGTTTCGCCGAAGGGCGGAAAGGAGATACAGACGGACGAAAGCAATATGCGACTTGAGGCTTGCACGACGCATACAGAAAATGTCCAACGACGTTTAGACAAACTTGAACAAGAACGCTGGAATTCATTCTACGAATCATTGGATCCCCGAAAGCCGTTGTCACGCATCTGGAGCACCATTCGTAGCCTGCGCTCGACTCCCCAACAAAGACATCCTTTCATGGCTTTAGCCCTACATTTAGGCCGCACCCAACTTGAAGTGGCAAATGCGTTTTGTACGCGAATCGCTTGTGTGTCCGCCTTGTCCGCTGACACCATTAGGAGTGTTATCCCTGAACCCCGCATCTCCGAAATGGACAATATTTCACCATAGAAGAACTTGACGCATCTTTGGCGGCTTCCCGACGATCATCTTCACCAGGACCCGATGGCATCACCTACGCCGCTCTAGCCAACCTTCAACCGGAGGTCAGGGGACAGTTGTTAAGCTATTACAACCACTCATGGCAGGCGGGCATTGTTCCCCAGAATTGGAAAATAAGTCGACTTGTGCCACTACTCAAAGCAGGAAAGTCACCATTTGATTTGACATCATTTCGCCCTATTGCCCTCGCAAGGTGCGTAGGAAAAGTCATGGAAAGGATGATACTTACACGCCTAGAATGGTACCTCGAGTGCTACAACGTATACCCAAACTGCATGACGGGTTTTCGGCAAGGTAGGTCATCTCTTGACAACGTGATTGATCTCACAAAATTTATCCAGCAACAGAAGAGCCTCAAGCGCATACCACTGGCACTCTTCCTCGACGTCAAAGGGGCTTGTGATAACGTAACACATAAAGCCATCCTAGACTCGTGGGAAGCTGTCGGAATCGGTGCTCGAATGTTCCAATGGATCCAGGATTAATTGACGAGAAGGTCCTTTTTTTGGGCAAACCTCAGATGGACCTACCACAAATTACTATACCTCCCGTGGAGTCCCTCAGGGCGCCGTATTAAGTCCCACTTTATTTAACCTCGTGATGGTAGGCCTTCGTGAAATTTTGCCAAGTACTATCCTCATATCCATATATGCAGACGATATTTGTCTATAGACTTCGGCTGTAACTCGTCTACAAGTAGGTGCAAGAGTCCAGCAGGCTGCCACCCGGACATGCTCATATCTCCGTAAGCAAGGTCTTCCCGTCTCAACGGAGAAATGTGCATTGGTTGCGTTTACTCGCAGAGCCATGACAGAATACCCCGTTACCATCAGTGGACAAAATATTCCATACCAGAAGAACCATCGCTTCCTGGGTGTGATTATTGACAAGGACCTTTCGTGGAGTGCCCACTGCAGTTACCTGAAGAGAAGGCTAACTTCCGTCGTCCATATAATGCGGTTCCTCTGCTGAAAATCTTGCGGCACAAAAAATAAGGTCAATGATATAGCTATACAGGGCATTGTTTCTGGGATTTTTGCGCTACAGCTTGCCGTTACTGGCAAGTACGTGCAAGACGAACATCCGCACCCTCGAAAATCTGCAAGGACAAGCACTACGCGTGTGCTTAGGATTGCCGCGATGCACCTCAACCTACGGGGCAATTATGATCGGAAGAGAACATCCAATTCAAACATACATCACCACTGACAATTTGAGAGCCCACATAAGACACCTCTGCCGAGTTCCTGGTCACCATGTTGCAGTGTTGCCACTTCAAAGACCACAAGCAATGTTTTCAAAGATTATTTCCCATAGAGAATGCCTTCCTTTTGGCTTCACTCCAGCAACAAGACAAGCGTCACCTCCGTGGTGCCTACAACAACGACAGGTGTGCCTCACTATTCCGGAAATAACGAACAAGAGCCGTCAATCAACAGTGGTCCTACGACAGGTGACATTGTCACTACTCAACGAAAAATGCGGCCAGAGGACCCACATTTACACCGATGGATCGGTCTCGGCTGACAGCTCCACAGGTGCTGTTGTCATCCCGACGTACCAGGTCACTATAAAGCTCAAACTATCGCATAGGACAACATCCACAGCAGCGGAGCTTGCCGCCTTACGTGCTGCTATACTTTATATCGCGGAAGCCCGGTCTCAAAAATGGGCTGTGTTCTGCGACTCCAAGGCATCCCTTCAGAGCTTGCAATCAGCTTTACGACAAATGGAGCATCAACAACTAGTGAATGAAATAAGAGAAGTGATTCACGAAGTTTTATCGAAAGGACATGACGTGGTGTTCCAGTGGTTACCGGGACATTGTAGTATTGTCGGTAACGACCTTGCTGATAATGCTGCCCGATCCGCCCACGCGGACGCCCAGACAACCCCAATTCCATTTTCGAGAACCGACGCTGCAAGGGGCCTCCACTCGTTCGCTAACACAATGTCGGAAACTTGGCTGAGTGACCCCAGTGTCGGGAACCACCGCCTACACAAATTGGACCCATCGAGAAAGCTTCAAGTTCTATCGGACCTCTCC